TAGCTCTGTTGAAATTTATCAAGATCTGCACGTGGTAAATAAACAAAATAACTTGGTGGGTTGACGACGACTGTGCGATTAGATTCAAGCTCACTTTACCTTTAAACTTTAAATTTGGTAGCCAAACGGAACCGTGTGACGCCTCTTCCTGACAACTGCGTTCCAGGCCAGCCTCTTTTGTGTTTGCACTACTTTGGTGAGCACTATAACTCTTACTTTTTCAGACATCCATAAAACACACACATTCTCTGTTGAAATAAGCATTTAAGGGAGCGATTTTGCAGTTTTCGTCGCGTACCATCACGTGATAGTCCGACTCGTCGCTTCTTTCCGGACCGAAACAGTGACATGTTCTGATTTTATTTGGACTTGTTTCGTCATGGAGATTTCATTTGAAGGCAAACACGCTCTGGTCACCGGAGCAGGAAAAGGTAAATGCAAGACGCAAAAAAAAAGACTCTCCTTGTGCGGCTATCGTGGTGTTTCGCGTCCCCGGTGAATGGACTTGAACACCATGATCAAAGTGTTCAACCCCCTCATCTGTAATAAAATATTATAAGCTTCTCTACTCAATAAAATATACAGTATTTAAATGTGATCCGTGCTACTCTGACATAAATGTATGCGAAAAATATTGGCACGATATTCAAATAACGGTATGACAGTACTCATTGGTTCTTTTTTGCCTTTTCAAACAGCTTTGGTGCATTTTGATTATTTATATTTAATTCTTGTTCATGTTTTAGAATAATACAAAAAGCCACACAACATTTGGAGAAGCCGACTTTTATTGTATAGCGAGACGATGCAACAATAATTGGAAGATAATACAATAAATTATCGTTTCATGCTGAAGTTTTTGCAGATTAGGTTATATAAATCGTCATGCCAAATGTGTCTTTCTTACGAGAAAATGTAAAGCCGTCCCGAAGGAAAGACTTTGTTTACAGAGTGCAGGTGTGTATTTTGTTTGCACTTTTTTTTCTCAAAATGATACGAATTAATATCAAATGAATTTATTATATGTGCCTGCCACCCAAGTGAAGATAAAACGGTTCAGACAGTGGAAGGATGTGTCTTTAAAATGACATACATCCCTGAATTCAATTTTTTGTCACACCGCGATGAGGGTCTTTTTTGTGTTTGTCGTGACACTTCCTGTTTTATTTTGAAAGAATAACTCTCCT